GCAGATTTCTATTGCGACTGATTCTCTTTTTTTTTTTTCCCCCGTTGATGAATTGTCCTGAAATTTACTTTTAATTGAAAGACGGGATAAAATGAGTTTAATAACTACATAGGTCTAAATTTCGTTAGAGATCCGTTAGCTAACAAATCACATTTTCTAGGAAGCAATCCTAACTTCCTATACATTTCCAGGCCAGCTATAAAGATGCTTGCCTAGATAGATGAACTGTCAATCATAAAGATTCAGGACCATCCGCTAAGTTGCCCACGGAAGGTTTATTCAAGGTACCCCCCCCAACCGTTACAACAAGTTACCACAGCACTGAAAAAAAGTGACTTATGACCATTTTTCACACTTATGACCGTTGCAACATCCCTGTGGTCACATGACCAAAATTCAGATGCTTTGTCAACTGGCTCGTATTTATGACGGTGGTAGGGTCCTGGGGTCATGAGCAAAGTCGGTGGGGAAACCAGATTCACTTAACAACCAGGTTACTAATTTAACAACCAGAGTGATTCACTTAACAACGGTGGCAAGACAGGTTATAAAATGGGGCAAAACTCGCTTAACAACCATCTTACTCAGCAGCAGAAATGTTGGGTTCCGTTGTTGTGGTCATAAGGACAAGACTAGCTAAATTTAGCAAATCAAAGCAAAATGCAGACCTTCCATTTTCCCTTGCTTGAGAGCCTGCTTACAACAGGCCTGGTTAAATCGGTGTAGTTGGTCTCGCTAAAATAGATCACATTGATGTAAGTGGGTGTAATTGAAACAGGACTAAAAATAGATCCACCTCCGAGAGGCCCCTCCAGATCATCTATCAACACCGTCCCAGCAGGGGTGATTCCCTTCCCTAAGATGCTTTTCTCTTTCCAAGTGGGAAGCAAATGGCTTTGTTTGCTTACTCAGTCTTTGCCCGGGGGCCATACGTCTTCCCATCGCTTTGCTCTCCAATGTATATACATGCCTCTTCCTGACAACTGGAATTTGCTGTTGAAACAGCTTATATCGTCTTCCTGCCAGCAGGAAATGGCGCCTTTTTCTAATTAAAGAGCAGCAGTGTTCTGGGTTTCACAACTGGGTAAGAATGACAGCAATTCTATCTATTGCCTGGCTGCCTGTCTACATCCATCTATCTAATTTATCTAATCTCTCTCTCTCTCTCTCTCTCTCTCTCTCTCTCTCTCTCTCTCTCTCTCTCTCTCTCTCTCTCTCTCTCTCATCTATCTATCTATCATCATTATCTATCTATCATCTATCATCTCTCTATCATCTATCAGCTCTCTCTCTCTCTCTCTCTCTCTCTGTGTGTGTGTGTGTATGTGTGTGTGTGTGTGTGTGTGTGTGATGGCGCCGTGGTTAGAGTGTAGTACTGCAGGCTAATTCTGCTGACTGCCGGCTGCCAGCAGTTTGGCAGATCGAATCTCACCAGGCTCAAAGTTGACTCAGCCTTCCATCCTTCCGAGGTAGATAAAATGAGGATCCAGATTGTTGGGGGTAACAAGCTGAGTCTCTAAACTGCTTAGAGAAGGTTGTGAAACACTGTGAAGTGGTATATTTCTAAGTGCTATTGCTCTATCTATCTATCTATCTATCTATCTATCTATCTATCTATCTATCTATCTATCAATCTAATCTAATCTAATCTAATCTAATCTAATCTAATCTAATCTAATCTAATCTAATCTAATCTATCCATCTATCAATTCATCCACAGTCTCTCTCTTTCTCTCTCTCCGTACTATCCATCTACCCACCCACCCATCTATCATCTATCTATCTATCTATCTATCTATCTATCTATCTATCTATCTATCTATCTATCTATCTTTCTATCTTTCTATCTTTCTATCTTTCTATCTATCTTCTGTCTCTCTCTTTCTCCCTCTCCCTCTCCCTCTCCCTCTTTCTCTCTCTCTTACAGCAGGGTTTTCCAATCTGAACAACTTCCAGATGTATGGCTTTCAACTCCCAGCATAGATACTGTAGAAAATTCCCTTCCCTTCTCCCCCCCACTTTTTTTTGTACAACCCTCTACACTTCTGCACAGAAGTGACCCCAACCCAAGGAATGAAGAAGGGCAAAACAATAGCATGCTCTATGCATTGTGTCACAATAATTGTTTTTAACCAATAGAATACCTAAACGATATTAAGTACTCCAATGGAGGGAGGGAGGGTAATATTATTTGCAAAAGTCATCTTTCATGTCATATTTTCTTCCTAAGACCAACAGTTTCCTGCGGTCCAATCAATTTTAGCTCTCACTCCAGTGCCTGACACTGTTTTCTCTTCCTTAGAGAGCTTAGTGCAAATTTGAAATATTTCAGCAACTGAACTCTCCCGAGTACAATGAAACCATGAAAAGCACATTTTTTTCCTGGAGTGAAGGACTGCCTTGTTTCTTCGAAATTTCCAATAAATCTTGTGTCACCCTATTGCAAGACACAACGAAGTACAGGGCCAGCAATAAACACTGGGCTGTTTGAGGGCCACCATGCCTGTTAGCTTTGTATTTCTTGTCAGCCCTGAAATTCTGGACAATTAAGAACAATAACATCTATCACTGCAGTGGGGTGGCTTAGCAGAACGGGTGATGTACATGACTTCAAGAAAGCTGTTGCTGCTTCTACGCGTGTGTCTCCAAAAAAGACGACCCACCTTGTAAAGAAGCCCTATCACATTTTTGAGCGCATGCAATCAAATTAAGCCCCACCCACAAAATTAGCCCTAATTAAGACCCCGCCCACCCCCGGGGTACAAGGGGTGGGGCGAGGCACACAGGTAAAAAATAAGCTAGGGTAGAGATGGGGGGGGTGGAGATGCCCTACTTATTAGCCTCACACACCCAGAAACCTGCCTCGCCTTCTTCTGCAGCCGCTTCTTCTGCGGCCGCTTGCCGCCACTCGCACACATCGCCCTGGCTTCCATTTTGCCTTCAGATCAGTGGTGGGATTCAATATTTTTACTACCGGTTCTGCAGGTGTGGCTTGGTGGGCGTGGCATGGGTTAGTGGGCATGGCTTGGTGGGCGTGGCAGGGGAAGGATACTGTAAAATCTCCATTCTGACCCCACTCCAGGGGAAGGATACTGTAAAATCTCCATTCCCTCCCCAATTCAGGGGAAGGTTACTTCAAAATCCCCATTTCCTCCCAATCAACTGGAGCTCAGGAGGCAGAGAATAGATGGGGGCGGGGCCAGTCAGAGGTGGTATTTATCGGTTCTCCGAACTACTCAAAATTTCTGCTACCGGTTCTCCAAAACTGGTTAGAACCTGCTGAATACCACCTCTGCTTCAGATGCTTACCGGAAGGCATCTGCAGCCGATAATGAAGCTCCGGATCAATCAGAAAGGATGAAAAAGGAGGGACAGAATGAAATGTAAAGGACAAAAATTAAAATAATGGCGAGTTGGCCGCACCAAGTTGCCCCATTCTGTCCTGAAAGGCTGGACTGTAACTGCCTCTTTAACAGAAGAAACAACTTACTCTTGAGAGGTGGGAAGAGGTTGCAAAAAAAAAAAAAAAAAAAAAAAAAAGAGGTAAATTTTGGAATATAGTAGAATGTGACGTTTGCTTTTCAGTTTTCTTTTCAGAGAATGTTCAATCAAAGTAGGAATCTCAACAGAATCTGATGCAGGAAATACATGGAAGATGTAGGGAATACATGGAAGAAGCAGAGATACGGGAAGAAAAGTTGGACCCAAGGAAAGACAAGGAAAACAATATAATATCAAGTCTGCAAAATAAATTTATTTATTTATTTATTTTGTCAAACATATACAAGATAGCAGGTATAGGTATAAACATAAACATAAACAAAGGAAGTAAGTACAGATAAATGGGGACAGTAAGACAGGGACAGTAGGCACGCTGGTGTGCTTATGCACGCCCCCTTCACGGACCTCTTGGGAATGGGGTGAGGTCCACGGTAGACAGTTTGAGGTTGAAGCTGTGAGGGTTAGAGGCTGTAACAACGGAGTTGGGTAGAGCATTCCAGGCATTGACCATTCTGTTGCTGAAGTTGTATTTTCTGCAATTGAGTTTGGAGCGGTTTACCTTGAGTTTGTATCAATTGTTTGCCTGGGTATTATTGAGGTTGAAGCTGAAGAAGTTATTGACAGGTAAGAGGTTGTAGCAGACAAGTTTGTGTACTATGCTTAGATCAGACCACAGGCGGCAGAGTTCCAGATTATCCAAGCCCAAAATTTCAAGTCTGGTGGCATAAGGGATTCGATTGTGGGTAGAGGAGTGGAGTACTCTTCTCGTGAAATACTTCTGAACCCCTCAATCGTGTTAGTGTCGAATATACAGTGTAGATTCCAGGCAGACGAGCTGTATTCGAGAATTGGTCTGGCAAAGGTTTTGTATGCCCTAGTTAGCAATACAATGTTACCAGAGAAGAAGCTTTGCAAGATTAGGTTAACAACTCTTAATGCCTTTTTGGCAAAGACTAAAACATCCTCGGGTCCCAGAAATTGAAACTCACTCCAGATTTGCAATGCAGAAAGTATAACCATCTATGTTTAAATGAAGACTTTTGTTCTACTTTATGGTTGCCCTTAGAGAATCCAGGGATTGCCAAAGATCCTGCTTTTTTTCCTCCATCAAATTCCTAAGTGCACCCTCTGTAGGCTTTCTCTAGAACTGCAACGTTTCTCTTCTAACCTAGGGACTGCTCAGATGGTTTCAGTTAACTTTGCAAGAATTTTATGAACAGAAACTGTCTGGTCGATTCACACTTCATAAAAAGTCTTGGCCGACTCACATTATATATTGCTATGGATTAAAGGATTGAGTCCCTATCATGCTTTCCAATGCCCGCAGATTAAAAGAAGGATATATATACATCTCATCCTGGCTTGGAACTGCTGGGAAGGCAGGAAGGCCTTCGAGGGACTTGGCGGATGCATGTCCATTTTCACAGAAAAGAAAAATTAACCTCTTCCTACTCCCTGCTTCAAGTAACCAAAGATCTTCTCTGCATTATTCCAGGACAAATGTGTCCAACAATGATTAAGGAGACCAATTCAGCAAAGGCGCCACCCACTCAGCATGGATAGTATGGTTCAGAAGCTCACATTCAATGCAATGTATGGAAAGTAGAAAGAAATTCAGGTATGTGATGTAAAGACCACAGGAGCACTGTAGGGTAGGTCCCAGCACCTGAAGCATAGCAGTGTGCTCTATTTCCTAACAATGAGAACAATTCATCAATGGAACATCTCGCTCCAGATGTTGTGGGTGCTCCATGACTGGAGGCTTTTAAGAAAGGTTGGACAGCCATTTGTCCAGAATAGTCTAGGACCATGATGGCAAACCTATGGCCATATCTGTGGGCATGCATGCAAGTGTTGCCCTTGCTCTGCTTCAGCGCACATGTGTGCACCAGCCAGCGGTTTTTCGGGCCTTCTGGCCCGCCAGAAGTTGGGAAACGGGCTGTTTCCGGCCTCTGGAGGGCCTCTGGGGGGGGAGGCCGTTTTCGTCCTTCCCAGGCTCCTAGAAAGCCTCTGGAGCATAGGGAGGGCAAAAAACAGGCCTACCGGGCTCACCGTGCCATTGAGTGCCAAAAGCACGCAATTATGTTAAGTAGCACCAGCTGCCTGCAATTACTGCAAGTTCAAATCTCACCAGGCTGAAGGTTGACTCAGCCTTCTATCCTTTTGAGGTAGGTAAAATGAGGACCTGGTTTGTGGGGGCAATAAGCTGATTTTGTATAAAAAAGACACCGCTTGGGGGGGGCGAAAGCCCTACTAAGTAGGTATATACAAAAGTATGAAGGCTATTAACTCATTGTAAGCCACCCTGAGTCTCCAGAGAAGGGCAGCATATAAATCGAACCAATAAATAAATAATAAATAAGCAGGGGGCGCACAGGGGGTGGGTCACATTGAATTATGGGTGTGGGCATGCACGTGCATGACCCCCCCACACACACTCCCCCTGGTTTTGGCACGCGACGGCAAAAAGGTTAGCCACCACTGGTCTACCATCTCCTGCTTGAGCAGGAAATTGGACTAGAAGACCTCCAAGGAAGAGGTGGTATTCAGGCGGTTCACACCATTCGAGTGAATTGGTAGTGGCGATTGCGGGTAGGTCCACCTACCTGCCACCTGCCCTGGCTCCAAGTCGTGCTATTTAGGCACATTTTTGAGGCCAGGCGCATGTGAGGAAGGTGCGCAAGTGAGCAGAGTGCATGCGCGGAAGGCCGGAGGCATGTGCGGATAGCGTGTACATGCGAAGCAAGCGTGCACGCAAATGGCGAATTGGTGGTAAAGTAAGTGAAACCTACCCTGCTCCAAGATCCCTTCCAACTCTGTTACTCTGTTGTTCTGTTATATCCCAGCAATATCTGAAGCAAAAGCAACTGATCTACTCTTAAGACCCAACTGGAAAATAAGCCCTAGCATGATTTTTCAGGATGCTTGTAACTTAAGCCCCACCCAAAAATAAGCCCCAGTTAAGATCATCAACCAGACAGACGCATTTAGTACCATATTTCCTTGAAAATAAGACCTAACTGGAAAATAAGCCTTAATGCATCTTTTGGAGCAAAAATGAATATAAGACTCAGTCTTATTTTCGGGGAAACACAGGTAGGGTCATAAAATTTGAATTTCTCAGGATGTCCTTTGGAACAAACCAGTGGTGAAATCTGAACCGATTTATTTATTATTTTATTTATTTTATTTTTCATATTTGTATACCGCCCTACTCCCGAAGGACTCAGGGCGGTGTACAGCCATAATAAATACAAATACATATAGAAGTTAAAAACTATTAAGAAACAGATTAAGTAATTTAGGCTCAAAGGTTAAAAAACATCCAAATTTATCTAAAGAGGTTTAAAACCCAATTTAAAAGCCAGTTTAAAAGCCAATAAAAAAAGGGAGAGTTAGGCCAGACCAGCTTGTTGGAATAGAAATGTTTTCAGGGCACGGCGGAATATGCGTAAGTCTTGGATGTTTCGTAACTCCAGGGGAAGCCTGTTCCAGATGGTAGGTGCCCCCACAGAAAAGGCTCTCCCCCTGGGGCCGTCAGTCGACATTGTTTGGCCGACGGCACCCTGAGGAGTCCCTCTCTATGGGAGCGAACTGGTCGGTGAGAGGCTATTGGTGGCAGGAGGCGGTCTCGTAAGTACCCTGGTCCTGAGCCATGGAGCACTCTAAAGATAGTAACCAAAACCTTGAAGCGCACCCGGAAGACCACTGGGAGCCAGTGCAGCTCGCGCAGGAGGGGGGTTACATGAGAGCGCCACATTGCTCCCATTACCACCCGCGCGGCCGCATTCTGGACCAGTTGGAGCCTTCGGGTGCTTCTCAAGGGGAGCCCCATGTAGAGAGCATTACAATAATCCAGGCGTGAGGTGACAAGGGCGTGAGTGACCGTGCGTAACGAGTCCCGATCCAGAAAGGGATGCAACTGGCGAATCAGGCGAACCTGATAAAAAGTCCTCCTGGCTACGGCCGTCATATGCTCTTCAAAAGACAGCCGTGTGTCCAGGAGGATGCCCAAGTTGCGAACCCCATCTGTGGGGCCAACGACTCGCCCCCAATAGTCAGAGATGGCGCCAACTGACTATATCAGGACGACAGAAACCACAGCCACTCGGTCTTGGATGGGTTGAGTCTGAGTTTGTTCTGAGATTTACTACCAGTTCGCTGGCTGCGCATGCGCAGTGCACACCATGCATCAAATGCAAGGTGCACATGCGTAGTGCATGCCAAAAGGAGGCATGCGGTAAGCAGAACAGTGCACGAGGGGGGTTGATCAGCTGTGACACGCAATCTTTTTTTTTTACTTTTAAAAGCATTGCTTTTAAAAGTAAAAAAAAAAAGCCTTTGATGATCACCACAACTCAGCTGCGATTGTCAGAGCCTTTTAAAAGCATTTTTTCTACAACCTCTTCAGCCAAAGAGGTTGTAGAAAAAATGCTTTTAAGTAAAAAAAAAAAAAAGCCTCTGACGATCAGGCAACTCAGCTGGGATCGTCAGAGCCTTTTCAAAGCATTTTTTTAACCTCTTCAGCTGAACCGGGGGCAACCCATCACTGTACTATTCCAAAAAAAAAAAAAAAGTAGTGTTATTAGCTAGTTTTAGAAAATACACTTTTCCCAAAAGTTTCCACAATTTTGGTCACTATTGTGTTTCCTACAGGAAGAATCATTTCCTTCCTTCCTTCATCTACTGAAAATAGGGTGATGTGATCACCATTTCTCAGCTCAAAGTCAATGGGGGAAACCAGATTCATTTAATGACCAATTTTTTTTTACTTAACAACAGGGAATGTGTGGAGTGGATTCTACATATGCTGGAGGCCAGGACAGAAAGATATGGAGGGATATGGTGAATATCTATTGGATTTACAGTAGTTATCTTACTTTGTTTTTATCTCAGTAATTTTAACCACAGCAAGGAAAGAGATTTTATGTTTTACTTAATGGAGAAGACTTTGGGGCCCACTTTGATATCTAAGTGCCCAGAATTTCCAGAATCAACATTCAGTTTTCTATTAGAGATGGGTTGTGACCCAGGCTCACTTAGTCATTACAAGTCACAATTGGTCCCAAACAAAACTGTTTTATTATAACAGCGGAGAATTATTTCATTCCCAGTTTAGTCCAAATTAATTCCAAAACAAGTCCTTCAGAAAAAGTCCTTCAGACTTATCTCAAACCTTTATCTTCTTTGGCACCCTGCCAAAGGCCTTTCTTGGCAAAGCCCCACAAAGTTCAGAAACAAGAGACACCGACTGGAAACAGATTTAGCAACGTTGCTTTCCTACAAAGAGCCCAAGAACCTTTGCCACTCTTTCAAGCCTTATGGGAGGGGCCAATCATCTCCTGGCCTTACTCCTGAGTCGTCCTTTTTGCTTTAGCTTCTCTTGCCTTCTGGCAGCTCTGCGCATGTGTGCACTAGGAACAGGCTCCTCCTGTTCCTCTGCCTCTCTACTGTCCGACTCTGGAGGCTCCGGAGTCCGCACATCAGTCCCAGATGGCCCTGGCCCCACCTCTGCCTCCGATGCAGAGCCCTCGTCTGGGCCTTCCCCAGACTCCAGGACTGGCCCATTGTCCTTCCCAGCCTCCTCACTGTCCAAGTCCGCTGCTAGCCCCGCGGGTTGCTGGCAGACCACAACAAGATGCTGTCAGTTACAAAAACCCACAACTTCTAGAAATGCAAGAAAGATCTCTGGGTTGTTTTTTTTTGTTTGTTTGTTTTTTTGTTTTTTGAACTTTTCTATTTACAAATGAACAGATTGGACTGAAGTACATTGGCAGTTAAATTCCCCGTTAAATTCTCCCGGTGATTGCGTTTTAAACTAAAAGGAATATTGGGTATAGTTCAGACCACATTTGCAAGGAAAAGATAAGGACGAACTGTCTGTGCCAGAATAAGAGATAAAAATCACATAAAATTCTTCTGGTTTGCAATTTTTCATGCTGGGATTTTATGAGAGTTGGGATCCAAGACATCTGGAAAACACAAAACTGTAGAAAACCAATCTTATTTGTCTGCTGTCCCGTGGAGGTTGCGTTCATTTTGAAGCGCCACCAAATTCATTCAAGAGCTGCTCTGCTTATTTACAGATATTCAAAATATATGAACAGCCTAACAGAATCATGCACTTTTCTGCCTTCCCTCCGTCTGAAAGATTTTACTCCATTCTTGCCATCGCTGGGCTGCAATTAATCACACCGGATGAAAGATTTCTCCATTTTAAGGAAAAGGCTCCCTCTGTTGGTGAACTGCTCCAGTTCTCATGGTGACTTAGAATAAGAGAGTTGAAAGGGGCCTTGTAGGTAATCTAGTCCAACCCCCTGCTCAAGCAGGAGACCCTATACCCGTGATGGCGAATCTATGGCACGTGTGCCACAGGTGGCATGCAGAGCCCTCTCTGCGGGCATGCCAGCTGTTGCCCCAGCCCAGCCCCACTGTGCATTTGCATGTGTGCCTCTCAATGGCCAGCTGGTTTTCAGATCTCTGCCATGCATGCCAGAGGGGCGGGGCCTTCCCCAATCTCTGCAGGTTCCCCCCCATACCTTTCTCCTCCATTTCTGCCACCCGTGCCTTCCCCGATCTCCGCAGGTTCCCCACCCCCAGTGTGCCCGATCTTTCTAC